GCGAGAGGCCACAGCGCGGACCGGTTCTGTGTTCAGCGGCGAGATCAAGGCGTTATTTTCAGCAGGGTTGTGTCGGCTATGTTGCCTATGTTCTAGATGCCCGTGAGAAGGGTAAGATGACAGTTAATGGTGTTCCGGTGGTACGGGACTACTCGGATGTATTTCCTGAGGATTTGCCAGGAATACCCCTTGAGAGATAGGTTGAGTTCGGGATTGACCTAATCCCTGGTACGGCTCCGATAGCCAAGGCACCGTATTGGTTGGCTGCTCCGGAGATGCAGGAGTTATCTACGCAGCTACAAGAGATGCTCGACAAGGGTTTTATCAGGCCGAGCAGTTCGCCCTGGGTGCACCGATTTTGTTTGTAAAGAAAAAGGACGGATCGCACAGTATGTGCATAGATTACCAGGAGCTGAATAAGGAAACGGTGAAGAACTGTTACCCACATCCGAGGATAGATGATTTGTTTGATCAGCTGCAAGGAGTGTCTTGGTTCTCCAAGATCGATTTACGCTCCGGGTATCATCAGATGCGAGGATGTGCAGAAGACTGCTTTTAGGACTCGATATGGTCATTACGAGTTCGTGGTGATGCCGTTTGGGCTCACCAACGCTCCCGCAGTGTTCATGGATCTCATAAACCGCGTGTGCAGGCCAATGCTGGATCGGTTTGTAATAGTATTCATAGATGATATCTTGGTGTATTCCAAAACTTAGGAACAACACGAGGAGCATCTGAGAGAGGTGCTAGAGATTTTGAGGAGGGAGAGACTTTTCGCAAAGTTCTCCAAGTACGAGTTCTGGTTGCGCGAGGTGCAATTCCTTGGTCATCTCATCAACCAGAAGGGTATTTTGGTAGATCCGGCCAAGATAGAGGCAATGATGTAGTGGGAGGTCCCGAGATCTCCATCCGAGATTCGGAGCTTCCTAGGTCAGGATTTCTCCAAGATAGCTGTACCACTCACCTGACTGACCAAGAAGTCGGTGGTGTTTTGTTGGGGGCCTGAATAGCACGTGGTGTTTCAGACTCTCAGGTAGAGATTGTGCAAGGCACCGATTCTTACCTTGCCAGAAGGAGTAGAGGATTTCGTAGTATACTGTGATGCCTCGATCACAGGTATGGCAGCAGTATTGATGCAACGAGGCCGTGTGATAGCCTACGCCTCGAGACAGTTGAAGCCTCACGAGGCTAACTATCCTACGCATGATTTGGAGTTGGGGGCAGTGGTGTTTTCCCTCAAGATTTGGAGACATTACCTCTATGGGGTCCATTGTACTATTTACACGGATCACAAGAGTTTGAGGTACCTCATGGATCAGCCGAATCTGAACATGAGGCAGAGGTGATGGTTAGATGTGTTGAAGGATTATGATTGTGAGATCCTTTATCACCCAGGGAAGGCTAACATGGTGGCCGACGCTCTGAGTCACAAGGCAGTGGCGGCCCCGATCAGAGGCATTTGTTTGAGGATGACGGTAATTACTCCATTATTGGAGCAAATCAAAGATGCGCAGACCAAGGGCCTTAAGGAGGAAAGGCTGAAGTGTGAAAGGATTGTGGGCCGAGTAGCTTCTATTGACTACGATAGCCGAGGATTGTTGACCCTTCATGGGAGGGTATGGGTACCGTATTGGGGCGGAGTACGACAGGTGTTGATGGATGAGGCCCATAAGTCTCGATTTTCCATCCATCCAGGGCCAATGAAGATGTATAGGGATCTTCGACCTGACTATTGGTGGCCCTGCATGAAACGGGATGTCGCTTGGTATGTGGAAAGATGCCTGGCCTGCAGGAAGGTTGAGGCGGAGCACCAGAGGCCTCACGGCAAGATGCAGCCGTTGGACATACTAGTGTGGAAATGGGAGGATATCACTATGGATTTCATCACTAAGCTTCCCAGGACCACATGTGGAGTAGATTCGATTTGGGTTATAGTGGATCGATTGACGAAGAGTTCCCATTTTATACCGATCCAAGAGAGCATATCGGCGGAGAAGCTAGCCGATATATATGTGCAAGAGGTGGTGGCATGACATGAAGTGCCTGTTTCAATGGTGTTAGATTGAGATGTTTGTCTTACTTCCAGATTCTGGAAGCGGTTTCACGATGAGATGGGTACTCGTCTCCTTTTTAGCATCGCTTTCCATCCTCAGACGGAAGGACAGAGCAAGAGAACGATTCAGACTCTCGAGGACATGCTGCGAGCATGTGTCCTAGACTTCGGTGGCAGTTGGGATACGTATTTCCCACTAGTGGAATTTTCGTATAACAACAGTTACCATGCGAGTATTGATCGATCTCCTTTCGAGATGCTCTATGGGAGGAAGTGCAGGACCCCGATTTGTTGGGGCGAGGTCGGTTAGTGGGTCAGTGGGAGCACCGAAGTGGTGCTCAAGACAATAGAGTTGATCCAGCAGGTTCGTAGCAGACTACAGACTGCACAGAGTCGGCAGAAGAGTTACGCCGATAGGAGGCGTTCAGACTTGGAGTTCCAGGTGGGCGAGATGGTCCTCCTGAAGGTATCACACTGGAAGGGTGTTATCAGGTTTCGGAAGAGGGGCAAGTTGGGCGCCAGGTTCATCGGTTCTTTTAGGGTTTTGGCTCGGGTGGTACGGGTTGCTTATCGGTTGGATCTCCCGGCAGAGCTTAGTCAGATCCACAACACTTTCCATGTTTCTCAGTTGAGAAAATGTTTGGTGGACGAGTCAGCAGTTGTACCCTTGGAGGACATTCAGGTTGATAGCAGCCTGAATTATATTGAGAAACCCATAGCGATCATAGATCGGAAGACGAAGACCTTGAGGAACAAGGTGGTTCAGTGGGTGAAGGTGCAGTGGCAGCACCGAAAGGGTTCCGAGTGGACATGGGAGGCGGAGGAGGAGATGAGGGAGCACTACCTAGAGTTGTTTCTGGAGTCAGCAAACTTCGCGGACGAAGTCTAAGATAAGTGGGGGAGAATTGTAATGCCCTGTTCCTGGTACGTATTTATTTTGATTAAATGATCTTTTAGGAAGACATACTCGGCGAGTTGTAGCCCTAACTCGCCGAGTAGATGTCAAGTTGGATACGGGCTTTAAGTGATCTACTTGGGGAGTCCCACGCATGGACTCGACGAGTAGGCCAATCAGGAGGAGACCCTAATTCTTAGGGTTTGCAACCTATTTAAACATCCTTATAGCCCCCATCTCAGCCTCCATCACCCTCAGAGTATTCCTTATCAAACCCTAGCCATTTTCTTAGTGAGTGTGTGTGTGTTTATTTCTTGTGAAGGCATCCTTGGAGTAAGAACGAGAAGGAGAAAGTTGGAGAGTTCAAGGAAGAGGAAGTAGATCCAGAATACACACTCTATTGATCATCTTTTCGGGTATTAAATTCCATAACTTTCTTATTGATCATATAGATCTATGTTGTTCCTAATTTGTGGTTTCTAAGCCCAAAAACCCCAAATCCCTTATGATTAGGCCTTATAGCCAGGTTATACCTCAGATCTGGACACTCATGGCATGCTAGAAGTATAAAGTCTTGGTGGTGGTTGTGATTAAAGTCCCTATTGAGCCTAGAACCTCATTAAGAGCTTATTTTGGGCATATGAAGCCTTTAAAGCCATGCATGCACGTAAAGTTAGCAACTTTATGTGAAAAAAATGCCCTAGAAGTCTAGATCCATGATTTGTAGCAGCTGCATGGCTCAGATCAGACCTGTATGGAAAAATGGCTGAATGAACTCGACGAGTCCACAGGACGACTCGGCGAGTTATATGAATTTAGCCGTCGACTCGACGAGTTGGAAGAACAATTCGGCGAGTCCAATGAAGTTTGCCTTAGAACTCGATGAGTTGTATGAGCAACTCGGCGAGTCGGATGAGTTTTCCCAAGTAAAGTGGTGTTTGAGTAGGAAGGCTTCATTCCTTCGTAGTTACATGTAAAGTTAGCAACTTTACGTGTTCAGATGGTTCCAAGATTTCAGATCTACGAGTTAGGAACCATAGAGCGGATTCGAATGTAGTTGTATGGAATCTGCTCGACAGAACTCGGCGAGTAGTTCCTCAGACTCGGCGAGTCCGGTCAACTGGAGGTTGACTTTGACCAGGGGTAAAATAGTCATTTTACCCTCAGTATAGTTATCAGTAATTGATTGAGTGTATTTATGGAAATTATAGACGGTGAGATACCGGAGCAGCAGCAGTTGGTTTCCAGAGTAGTTCATTTAGCAGCCAGTGTACGAGGTGAGTTTCCTTCCAGTAGGAACGGGTCTAAGGAAAAAATGTCGGCCCGTTTAATTAGTAGTAGTTTCCAGACCTCGGTCCGATACAGTAGTTAGAATGTTTGATGCCTTCATGGCTCAAACAATGTATGTGTTATGTGTTCCAGGCTACGAACCAATGCAGTATGCAGTTTATGTGTTCATGCTAGTTGATATGTTTATGCTATGCTATGCTATGCTATGCTCAGTAAGTTCCGGACTTTGGTCCGATGCAGTTAGTTTTGGACTTCGGTCTGATGCATGGGACAAGCACTACTAGAAAACAGACCTTTAATGACGCGCAAACAATGACACGTGGTGATTTACGATACGCAAAAGCATGTGCCCTAAAAATAATGTTATCACTTCTAAAATTTGAAGGATAGAAGACACACTTTTGTGCGTGCCCTTAAATTAATATCCAACAAAAAAAAAACACGGAGGGCACTTATTTAAAAATGGGTGTCGTCTAGAAATGCCGCTTTATATTTTTATAATGAAAGGCGCGTTCTCTTCTTTTGCAACTGGGGGGAAACGAAAATCCAAAAAGTTTGAAAGGCCGCCATTGTTATCCTCTACCTAATTTCCACCGTTATTTTCTATCTCTCTCTCCCTCTCTATATCTCTCTCACTCTAATACCAAAAAAAACCTAATATCATCACCAATCCTCTTTTCTCCCACAACAAAATCCCAATATCACTAGATCTTTGATCCCGTCTTTTGAACAGATCAAACCCGCAGGGTTCTCGATTTCTCAATGTTGATGTCTGGTGACACGAAAAAAAGGAGTGTAGCGCCTCTACTTTTCAATTTCATTTGTCGATTGCTACTTCAGCTTCTTGCTCAGCCGTCCTTTCGTTCAAAACCGTGTGCTCACGGGAAACCCCGCAAACGTTCAACATATCCTCAAGACTAAATTCTCACCATACCAAAAAGGCGATATTTTCCGGTCAACCCCTTCGATCTGCTTGGAGATGGAATCTTTAACGTCGAAAGGTTTTTTAACATCGGATCCGAGAAACGACTTAAAGAAGCAGTTGCCGAGATCCGTTAGTTCACCACGAACATATTGAACAGAAAGAAACAAGCACTCACGACCGAACCTGTTGATTTCTTTTCACGGTTTTTGAAGTCTGGTCATTTGGATGAAAACATCTGACGGATATTGTAATCAGCTTCATACTCGCTGGAAGAGATACAACCTCGGCGGCTTTGACGTGGTTCTTCTGGTTACTTTACAAGAATCCAACGATCGAAAGTGAAGTTGTGAACAAAGTCAAAGACAAAGAGAATTCAGATTCTTCCATTTACGATGAAGTGAAGGATATGGTTTATACTCATGCTAGTCTCTGCGAAAGCAAGAAGCTTTACCCTCCAGTTCCGGTGGACACGAAGCAGGCAAGCTCCAACGATGTTTTACCGGATGGGGACCGTCGTGAAGAAATGGATGATGGGTCAGGGTTCAGGGGGAGTGAACCATTTGTTTCTAATCTAATCTCATTCACGTTAGATAGACTAATTCCACATGTTTTTCATGGTGCACACCACCTGTTTGTAAAAATGCCTCTAACAACTTATCTAGATTAAAGGATTGATTTCTGATACACATTCTCAATCCTATCAGCACCATCTTTATTGGTTTCAGGTTATGTGAAAATGTTGAAGTCATAGGCTTTAAGATCTCATTCTATACAAAACATTCTCAATCTTGTGCAATTTCTTCAACAAGTATTAGGGCATACTCTCCATACCCAAAAAGCTCAAAACAATGCAACATGTCTAAAATGCCCTTTTGCAAAATCAACTATTCAGGTTTGTTAAGATATTAAAATTGTAAATATTTTATCTTGCTCTTTAGATGGATTATAAGCGATGACTTTTGACCACTTTGATTGATCCGGATCAAATATATGGTACTGATGTGTTACTGCATCTGATGTGTTTCTGTTTCTAGCAAAATCAACTATTCAGGTTTGTTAAGATATTAAAATTCCTTTATAACTAATTACATCTTTATACTTTGTAGGCAGCAACAACATTGACTGCATTGCATTTTATGACTACCACATTGATGGCCCTTGTTGTTAGGTGGTTGGGCTACATCCAACCCTCACATCTTCCCACTTCAGAACTTATGAAGTTTGTCCTGTTTTCCAACTTCTCCATTGCTGGAATGAACGTCAGTCTAATGTGGAACTTAGTAGGATTCTACCAGGCACGTAGTAGTAAACTAGTAATAATTTACATAACACTCCATTCAAATAGGATGAATTCAGAATTCTGTGATTGATTTGAAAGATCCCAGGCAACAAAGCTGAGTATGAGTCCTTAAAGCTTCTTCAGGTCTGAGTCCTTAAACATCTTCAGGTCTGAGTTCTTAAAGCTTCTTTTGCTTTATGTATCATTTGTATGATTTTGGGATAATATCACCAACATTTATTGTCTTGTTGCATTTATTTATCAGGTTTTACACCAATGGGCTATAAGGTGGACTGAGGTGACATGGGTCCTTTTAAAAGATTGATTTGAAACAGGTGATATGTGTTAAAGGACTTGGTAGATCATCATCTGGTGGAATCTTGAGTTCCATTATTTATGAAGCCAATGAGATTGCTTCTTCTGTTCTAGCAAGTATCACAAATCAAAGTAAGAAAAATAAAGGGAATTTCAATCAAGTGAATTTAGATAAAGATAAAGGTATAGGGGAATCATCTACAGAAAGTACACTAGATGGGAATAATGATGTCCAGGTTCATAGCTTCATACTGATTGATTCTTGATTTATCTTTTGACCAAAATTTCTAAAATCTTGATTAAACTTTTTGTAGGTATATGAGTTGAGTTCAACAGAAGGGCCATAAATTGGTCTATATCTATTCAGAAGAGTGCCTCATTTCAAAAATCTTGTATGTGGAGGAGATGGGACAGCAGGGTGGTTATTGGATGCAATTGAGAAGCAAAATTACTTTTCACCCCCTCCTGTAGCCATTCTACCTGTTGGATCTGGGAATGACTTGGCTAGGGTTTTGAATTGGGGTGGTGGTTTGGGGTCTGTAGAGAGACAAGGAGGACTTTGCATGATGCTGCAACACATGGAGCATGCTGCAGTTACTGTTCTATATTTATTTATTTTTACAGAAGCAACCAGAGATTCATCTTTTTGCTGCTAGATTTAGAGAACATAATGGAAAGAAGCACACGTTGAAGAAGTCCATCAAATTTATCAAAAAATACCCCTCTTGGTGATTCTCAGTCTGGATCCTTTCCTAGGAATTCTATCAAGGTGTCCCCAATCCAACGAAAATCCAACGATGCCACAAGTCCATCAAATTTATCAAAAAAATTCAGGTGATCTGTTATATATATATATATATATATATATATATATATATATATATATATATATATATATATATATATATATATATGTTGCAGAAGCAGTGTTTGCAGCTTGTGATGCAGCTCACGGAAGATGGGCAAAACTTCTTGGTGTTCGTGCTCTTTTGCATCCAAGACTAAGGCTTCAAGACTTTTTACAAATATATAACGTGTCACAAGAATTTGTAACTGTAACAGAGAAGGTAAACAACAATTTGTTTGATTATTATTATTATTATTATTATTATTATTATTATTATTATTATAGATGACAAAACTGAAAGCAGTGCTTGATCAAGAAACATGGGTTAAAGTAGATGTGCCTAATGAATTCCAGGGAATTGTGGATTCCCTTTTTAGCTTGGAATCTTTAGGAGTTGGTGATTCCGATGATAAAAGCTACAACGAACTTGCAGTTGATGGAATTATGGATACCACTGGACAGCTGGAATTTATTAATAGAATGAAGTTGATTATAACTTTTTATTTATTTGAAGAATGGTTTAATTTCTGTGTTTTAGGTTAATAATGTTAAAGCAAAGAATGAACATGGAAAATCTGGTACTCATTTGATCTCATTTAGAGGTGTTGGGTACCACATGGTAAACTGGTTAGTAATCATGTAAACTAATGTTTTTCAAGAATGCTAACTTATTTATGAATATGGTGTAAAATATAATTATAATAATTGATATATTTTTTTTTTTGTTGTTGTGTGTTTCTTTAGTGGGTTAATCCTGTTGATTATGTTATCAGAGTACATTGATATGAATGCTGTTTTGCCAGCACTTTCATCTGAAATCTATTTTTTTTGTTGTTATGGGCCTCAAAGCCATAGAAGATAGCATGTATCTTCTAAGTGCAGGTTTTTTCTTTTCAAAATTAGTTAAATGCAAGAATAGCATTGATATGTAAATGCCCTCCTTATCCTTGTCATTAGAAATATCCCTATAATTATAAAGCTTCCCATGTAACAAACGCAACCTTAAGTTTCTTGAAGAGTAGTCAATTTGAGTATATTTTTTCATTTGTAAATATGTTTTCTGTCTGGATGCTTTTATAGGCATTTGATCTTTGGTCAGGGAAGGGTAGTATGATACTTCAAGGACACTAAGAGTATGTAAATTGTTGTTGCTATAATGCCCATGATCAGGTATTTCTCTCTATCTCCTCTCTCTGACTATTATGCGGATGCCACGTCAGTATGCGAGATCGTCTATTGAAAAGTAGCACGAGATTGTCTATTCAAGTATTTGTTTATAGAATGTTACGTTTGTTTTGTTGCTCGTGTAAATCGAAATACTTTTCATTCAACTAGTAAGCAATGAAAAAGAAAGGCCAAGTATTTTAGATGTGATTTTTTTATTTATTAAAATGTTAATCTGTGTGGTCTCTTTACATGAACTATTTATTAAAATGTTAATGTGTGTGATTTTCTATTTATTAAAATATTAAAATCATCACAAAAATGCATGTGTTGAAAAATCATCATAAAAACGTTGTTCTCATTAAACATACTTGTCCATGCAGTTCTATTGGATAAGAAGCCCGATGAGGTTCCCATGGTAAGTGTAATTTGGTGTTTTGCAAGTTTGTGTCACTACAACAATTGATTTCTCATGTTTGCTATGATATTATTCTGCTTATGCAGCTTGTAGAATCTGTGCTAAGTAAGGTCATGGAAGAGTTTGAGAATCGCATCACTAGTCAAGTTGAACTGGTAAAGCTTCTTAGCTATGTTGTTTCCTAATTTCCTTGCTTGGTATTTCAAGTACAAATATAATTACTACAAAGTTGTCTTACATTCAATCATACTTCCTTGATATTTTGTATATTCTTGATCACTAGAAACTTGCAGTTGCTAAAGATACCTTTAAAGGAAACATGACTTATTGGTAGATCATTTTGATTCCACTCTCATACATATCATGTGTATTATTAATTATTTGATATTGATATTGTACAACTAACATATATGTTTATTGTGTAGGATTTTCGTGTTGTTTTTGATCTAGAGTTGGGATTGATATTGAAGCTAAGAGAGATGATGATTGGTTGGATACATGAAAGGGTTTCAGAGCTTCTTTAGATCGCTTAATGATGAGTTACTAAAACAAGAAGGTTCCCCTTTATAGCATTGTAACATTAGGTTATATAGTTAGGGAAAACCTCTTATTTATGGTATTTTATTTATATGACATTAAATTTTATGCAATGGATTGTATTTTTTGTATATGATACTTATTTTCTATTATGAGACATTAAATACAAATTTAATTTGAAAATTAGTAAATCTATAAATATATTTTTTTAAACATTTACAATTATGATAAGCAAAAATGTGTGTCATCTTCATTTATGACATGACCTTTCTTGACAGGGGCTTTCTTGATACGCATTGTGTGTCATCAACACGCGCGTCGTAAGGTTCCGACACGCAAATGCGTGTCATCTTCCTTTATGATAGGGCCTTCCTTGATACGCATTGCGTGTTGTAAACGTGCGTCGTAAATGAGCGTCGTCTATAGAAGACGCGCAAAAGCGCGTCGTCTCTCTTTATGATAGGGCCTTCCTTGACGCGCATTTGTGCGTCGTCTGAGCCTTTTATGATGCGCAATGAGCGTCGTAAAAGGCTGTTTTTCTAGTAGTGAAGGTCTCAGTCAGTTCCGGACTTTGGTCCGATGCAGTTTCTGGACTTCGGTCCGATGAAGTGGGCAAGGCCCAATATGTGTTTATATGTTATTGTATGGTATGTGGTAGCTTGGGGGAGCTCACTAAGCTTTGTGTTTACAGTTTCAGTTTTGGTTTCAGGTACTTCTGCAAGTAAAGGGAAGAGCTTGGGTTGATGGCATAGCACACATCACAGCTTCATTTTATCCTGGGAGTTGTTTTAGCTTTTCATAGATATGATTTGATACAGTCTTGATAAATTTTTCTCATAATACATTGCTATGGTTTTGGGATATTGACGTATGAGTTTTATTTTATGATATTGACATGATGTTTCAGTAATTATTAAACAAAAAAAAAATTGGGTCGTATTTTAGGATGTTACACAAAACATAGATTCCAGATCAGCAAACATTCTGGACATAAAGCTCATTCCAGAATACCTTCACTTCCAATCTTCACATCACTAACATATCTTCAAGTCTGGACTTAAACAGATTCCGGACCAATCTTCACTTCAGAACACCATCTGACTTTGGAATTGATATTGGAACTTAGGATTGCTATAGGTTCACTTTCAGGTTCCAACAGAGATCTCCTTGTGCCGCTCACCACCTGTTCGATGAAATGCCTCAGAGGGTTTTGGGTTCTTTTGAGCTCAAAATAAGTGACATGACATGGAGATCATTCTTTTGTGAAAATTGGAATACATCAAGTTACATTTTCTCTAACTTGCATTCTTGTTTTCACTTTATCGATTATTGTTTTCATCATATATTACATCAGTCTAGTAATGTTTTTGTGCCCTAAAATTCAACGAGATCTTACAATATTTTCACTGTTTCTGATGCTTTGGTGCAGATCCCCCTTTACATTGAACCAATGTTTCTTGCTCATATCGGCTGGTTCTTTATCCCACTTCTTCTTAGATCACCTGTTTGAGGTAATATTTCTCTTCGAGTTTACATAATTAAGGCAAAAATGATAAGAGTTATTAGTTGATTAGAGATTAAATACGGTAGGAAAATGGGTATTCAACCATGTACACTTGAATATTGAGTACTGGTTGGTAGAAAGGTCATGCTCCTGTTAATCCAGATGTTGTTGTTGTAATTGGATTTCTCTGCACCTGCTTAATAATTGGCTTCATTTGAATCAACAGGTGCTTCTTTTTTACCTTATGATCTAAAATCTTAAACCACATATAAGTTTTTGTCATATATCTTGATTTGGGTTCAATCTGGATGGCTCCATTTGTGCCTCAATAGTAAGAGACTCGATGAACATTATTGAATTAGATCATATCTTTTTTGTGCATTAAACAAATTAATTGCATTATAGTTTTAAATCGTTTGTTCAGGTATGCTACACTTGGTAAAATTCCCACATGTTATTTGCTCTACAAAGATGTGAACATGAATCCACTATAATCATGTGTGGAAGACAATGTAGATGGAGTTTAATTACTTTAGAATTCGATGGTTTATTGGAGTTGAAAGCTTCGGGTATCCAAATGAAGTTATACACAGATTCGGTTGTATCAATCAACTATTATATAAGTGGATTTGTATCTTGTTTCATTTGTCAAATGGATCATGAGTCGATGTGACTCCAAAGTTCCCCATATTCATGTTATTACGATACAATTAAAAGAATCATATTCAATTTTGTTACAACAATGAAATTTTTTGAGGATAATGAAGTGCTATATTTGAATTTTACATGTGATTCACATGGAAATCACAACTGATTCACATGTAAATCATATGTGATTCACATGTAAATCTCATGTGATTCACATATTAATCACATGTAAATCATAAATGAATGATATGTGATTCACATGTAAATCACAAGCAAATTACATATGAATTACGTATATATGCACACATTCATATGTTAATCACATGAAAATCACATGTAATTCACATAGTAATCACATTTGATTGACATCTAAATCACATTTGATTCACATGTAATTCACATATAATTTACATATGATTTACATGTGAATCCCATGTGATTCATATGTGAATCATATGCGATTCACATGTGAATCACATTTACATATGCTGCCATATGTAAATATGATTCATATGGGAATCGTATGTGATTCATATGTGAATCACATGTGATTCATATATTAATCACATGAAAATAACATATGTATTTTTGTGAGTGCTTTTGCATCAATCATTTTTTTTTTTTTAATTTTCTTGTAGATTTGGAAGAAATTGTGGTGAGTATTGAAGAGATGAAAAATGATAAATTGAAGAAAATAAGGAAATATTGACAGGAAGACATGAAAACGATTTGAAATTTGTAGCATTTTTTATTTTTTATATTTTATTTTGTATCGAATAAAATACTTGTACTATTATGTTTATAGATTAATTAATGAAAATGAGATTTTTTTGTAATTTACTTACGAATATTATAGTATATGAAATATATATATATATATATATATATATATATATATATATATATATATATATATATATATATATATATATATATATATATATATATATATGCATTTGAAAAAAATATGCATATATGCATCTAAAAATTTGCTTTTTTAAAAAAAAGTTGTTTTTTTTGAAAAAATTACATTTTTTTTAAATGCGTTTTAAAAAAAAATGTAACTTTTTTTTTTTTAAAAAACGTGCAGATTTTTTTATTTAAAATCGTTTTTAAAAAAAATACAGTTTTATTTAAAAAAATTACAGTTTTTTTGAAAAAAAAAAGCAATTTCTTTGAAAAAAAATGCAATTTTTTTGAATAAAAATGCAATTTTTTTATTACAGTTTTTTGAAAATATTGCAGTTTAAAATATATATATATATATATATATATATATATATATATATATATATATATATATATATATATATATATATATATATATATATATATAAATTTATTTTTCAAAAATTCATGGATTTTCTTTAAAAAAAAAAACGAAAAACATTATATTCAATAAAATTTGAAAATTTGATTTATGATGTAAATTTTTAGACATATAAATTAATATATATTAAATAACACAAAAAAATTTAACATTAAATACGATTAGTAAGATGATAATTATATCCTTAATGAATTACTTTCGATCCAATGTTTCACTTTTAATTATCGGGTTATTGAAAAACTATGAGTTATCAACCGATCTTATCTCTCTCTTTCTCTCTCTCTATATATATATATATATATATATATATATATATATATATATATATATAGAGAGAGAGAGAGAGAGAGAGAGAGAGAGAGAGAGAGAGAGAGAGAGAGAGAGAGAGAGAGAGAGAGAGAGAGAGAGAGAGAGAATGGAAGGTTTCCATAAGTGAAAAAACAAAAGATCATGGTACCTTGGTTTAACCCCAACCCAGTGTAAGGAGTCATTAAATCCCAATTGACATCAACGGTCCACAAGGGTTGGACGGCCCCCTAGTCCAAAGACTTTACCTTTTGCCACAAACATCCAAATAAATGACTTTGTCTTGTTCCATAACAATAATGTACACGTAATTCCCCACCAAAACATTGAATTGTATGAAGTATATGTTTCAAGTTTTTATCAGATATTTTACTTTTGGCTGAGCATATTTAAGAGATTTTTTTTAGATTGACGTAGGTTCGATTCTTTGTTCCGTTTGGTAGTGAGTAGTGCCCCTCTTGATGACCCGTCATGCATTGCTGATCCATCGGGTTGGGTTAAAAAAAACAACTTCTTGTTTCCCTTGTCAACGTATTGTTGGGTTTGCATATTCTTTGAATGTAATTTTGGGAAATCTAACTCCACTTTTTTTGATGTATTTAATATTAAAAATTACAAATAAACTCGAAACAGAAAGGTAGATAGAACAAAGATAAAACCAGTAGATAGTCTATGATTTTAAAACATATTTAATATGATTGTTAATAATATGTGATAGAAAAGTTATCTGGTTTATGCCTATGGAGGTAGGCTGCCCAGGGGGCACGTTAGGCGACGCCCAATACCTCACGACAATTGGGGCCTCAAAATTTTGTCCTCAAAATTAATTATGTTATACATCTAATATATGAGGCTTCTGTGATTCAAAATTTTGTCCTCAAAATTAATTATGTTATACATCTAATAAAAATGATAATCAAACATACCTTTAGACGAAAAGGAAAGGCACCTTGCACTTATTTAAATGAGTTGTTAGAGTTCCATCCCCTTATACTTTTTTTATATTATATTATTATTATTTTTTGTGTTAGAGTTCCATCCCCTTTTACTTTTTTATTTTATATTATTATTATTTTTCATTTTTTGTGTAGACAGTACCCCAAAATGTGGCATAATACATGACAATACCCTAAAATTGTAAAACGTTCTCATTTAATTAATATAATAATTAGTAATTAAGAGTGACACTTTTAACTTTTTTAAGTATTAAAAATTAAGACATGCCGCAGAAGCCTCATATATTAGATGTATAACAATTCATACTGTTGGTGGGTAATAATAATTCCAAAAATATAACTTATGCCGGGTTGAAGGAAGTGGGCAGCGGTACAGAGTTTAATTTTTATTTTTTTAAAAATAAAAAATTATAATAACGATAAGGTTTTTTTTTCTTATTCGTCTTGAGCCTTTGTGAAAATTTAACTTCTCAGGATCGGCCTTGCTGTGAAGGGTGGGACTTTGAAACGGAATAAGGCTCAGATGTTGCTTACTCTTGAGGATAAGGATCTTATTAATGATTTGGTTTTGTAACCATCCGTTTTTTTTGTCAAGTTAGAAGTGTTAGGTTGATCCCGAAGTTATTAATTTTGCTGGAAGATGAAGGTTTTCATTATTTATGGATAAAATATTTGGATGGTGATTGGATGTATGTGGAGTTTGATTCAGATTTGGTGTGCTCTATGTTTAAGAAGTCTTCTTCTGTTCGTGCTTTCTTCTCTAATTTCAGACCTGTGGTTAATGGGTTTAAAGTCTTAGAGAGGGTTGTTTGGATCAGGGCCGGCCCTAGAGGGAGGGCAAGCTAGGTGACCGCCCCGGGCCTCGCTGAATTTCGGGGCCCCTACGAGTCAAGGTTAATATTTATACAAATAGTTTTAGCATATAAAATTACTATGTAGCAAAAATATCTAAGACATATTTAGTTGAGATGGTTGAGGCATGCGTAACTTCAAAGTGGAAGACCTTAGTTCGAACCTAGTTTTAATGTTTTTAACATAGTTTTTGAAGGTTTTAGTGACTTCTCAGTTTTCAATAACATATTCACGTTCTCCCGATTCTCAAACAGACTTCTCGGTTTTCAATAACCACGAGTTATGCTTTTACATATTCACGATCGAGTTATTTTTTTCACTACACCGTCGATTCCTTGTTCATATGCTATCCTTCATGAATCAATCTTCAACGAGTTTAATCAAACTCCTCAAATCCTTAATTAACCTTCCATCTTGTTTGATCCTTCCTTCAACGATCATATTGATGGTATGTTTGTTAGTTTTTATTATGTAAACCTAGTTTTGATTTTTGTTTGCTTAAGATGGATTTGTTTACAAAGAGTTGTAGTCTGTAGGTTCTATTGGGTTTAACTGTTAAAGCTCTCTTTTGTTTATGTGCTTTTCTTTGTTCACCTGTTTGTATAGAAATTGCATATCAATACATAATATGAAGTTAATTTTCAAGTATTGAAAATTGTATAGAGCAAAGGTACTTGAATATACTAAATGAGAGATAAATAACTGCTATGGAGGAAATATAGAATGATATCTTGAAGCTTGTTATGTGAACTAATGTACATGTTTTCCCTTTAATGGGTATGGCTGCCGGATGGTTGATAAAATGCCTACGAGACTTGTACAATTTAGAGTTAAGCTTTTGGCTGTTTGTTTGATTTTTTTATAATAATTCTAATTGAGTGATTTCTTAAATTGTAGTTACTCTTAGAATCTTGGGTGTATAAAGGCTTGGAAATTCTGAGAATCTTGTTAACATTTTCAGATTAAAGTATTTGGGTGGTACTTCCAATCTTTAATCGGATAAGACTCAGAAAATTGAGAAAAAGAAGAGAGAATGTTCAAGATGTTATGAAGAAGAAATGTACCAACCACAAATTTCGAATATGATCATATAACCAGAAAATCTTCCTGTCTTAAAATTCCCACATGACAGTTTTATGTGCTAAAACTGTCCAAAATGTCATAAAACAACTTAAATCTAGGTTTAGAATATGGATCACAAAACCGGGTACATTTACCAAAAATCCAGATTTCTGATACATTTTTATTATAGCAACATAACATATAAAAAAACATTTCGTGCTGACCTGGCAGCTCCACCCGAACCAAGGGCTCTTACCATTGGACTCTGCTAGGGGCTGCCGCCCCTTGGACCCCACTTCCAAGGGCGCTGCCCTAGGACCCCAGTTCATTCAGGGTGTTCACCCGTAAATGACAGTATACTTTTAATCTTCAATAAACTTAAACAAGTGTGCACTCCACATCTTCCTTACTTTTTTAATATTCATCAAGATTAATTTTTGGTCAACAAGTCAACCGATTACGCTTAAATACAATGAGTGAAACAAATCACCAACAATTATGGCTCAAAAATTGGATCCTAGTAATGATGGAAGTTTAAGAATAGTTTTCTATCTTACCTTATTTCTTATCAGGAGCTCAAAGCATAATAAATTGCTAAACTGAACTTGTAAGTGTAATACACTATCCGGTGTGTTTATGATATGCACATGTACATTTGAGGCTATTTTTGCTTAAATTGTTCTTTTCAATACCTTGAAGATTGGATTTTACAGCCTAAAGTTTATTAAAATCCAAAGATATTTAATGTTTTCTTAAACATTTTACCTACACTGTATAGAAAGCATTCTCATTTTATTGTCTTTGTATTTCCTAAGTATATGATAGTCTTTTAATATATAAAATATATTGATGTTCAGAAAAATACTAATTTTTTAAAAGTTAAAGGGCCTCATTTGTTAATTTTCCCTAGGCCCAAATCGGCTTGGATCGGCCCTGGTTTGGATTGAAATTCTTGGCTTACCATGTTGTGCATGGAACAATGGTTCATTGAATAAGGTGGTAGGAATTTGGGGTGAATTGTGTTTCTTAGATGATGATAATCAAGCTCCATTGGCGATTAAAAGAGTTTGTATCAAAACAACTAAATCTTCATTAATTCATGATAAATTGTCTCTAGTGGTCCAAGGAATTACATATGATGTAGTGGTTAGAGAATTGTCAAATTGGGAACCTGATATTTTATGTAATGAAGAAGCACTAGATTGTGATCTACATTCTCTCTTGGGTGATTCGAAAAAGGTTGTTAATGATTTTGATGATATTTTAGCTGAAGAAGAAGGGAAATGACACCTAAGAATAATGTTAAGTCTATTGATATGGAAAATGGTAATTCATTTGGCATTGAACAAGATTATGTTAGTAACAAGGGGTAGATTTTTTAGACCAGTAAGGCCGATTTTTTCAAACAGATTTGTTAAAATCTGATGCTAACAGGAGGGGCTTCAATTCCATGCCAGTAGATGTTCCTGTGGCTGGTCCGGTAGATGTTGATGTTGGTCCGATAGATGTTGACGGTTTTGGAACGGTTCCGGCTATTCCGATTGCTACAATGGCAGGTCCTACGGTGGAGGCTGTTCAAGGGTTGGGTGATGATGATGTTTCGGCTAAGTCTTTTTCACAGCCACCTGGCTTCAGGCGTGATGTTGAGTTGGATTCTAGGACTAGTAAAATGAGGTCTATATCTGCTAGTTCTCATGGTTCTTCAGGATTGTTGAAAAAATGAGTCCCGACTAATATTGAAGATTTTCGAATATCATGAAACAGTATGTTGAAATGGGAAGGTTGCTTGGTTACGATATGGAAGGAAATAAAGATAAGGTGAAACAAATTTTGGCTAGTATTGGTGTGATTCAAGTTGTTTAATGAATTGCATGCCGTTGAATATATGTAGCATACGTTCTTGTCATAAGAGGAATTGGGTGAAGTCTTTGTGTGTTCAAAATGGTGTGTTGTTTTTAGGGTTACAAGAAACTAGAATGACTCAGTTGGATCTCTTCAAAGTTAGAAGTATGTGGGGGAATTGTAAATTTAATTTTGCTTTTAGTAGTGCTCGTGGGATGTCACACCCCCGAACCAGACGGCGGAAACGTCCGGGGGCTGTTGTGACTCAATTGAATACCATCACAGTGAATATACATGAAACGTAACATCATACATCACCAAGCATTGGAATAATACAACTGGTAGCGTTTATATCCATTACATTGTTTCAAAATATTACATTTCAAAATACATTGTTCGTTGTTACTTAAACAACCGCAAAACAATCATAGAGTACAGTCCTTTCTTCACTTATCTGTTACCTGAGAATACAAGTATTTTGAAAAACGTCAACATGTGAAATGTTGGTGAGTTCATAAGTAATGTTTGAAATCCAATGTTTGTAATGTTTTGAAAAACCACCAGAAAATCCGATATTTTCTGAAAATAGAATAGCGTAAAAATATGTGAAGATCCGTGAGTATGCTTGTTTGAATTCTATAGATGTAAGCGTAAGAGTTGTGAAATTCGACATGTAGTTCATAAGTGTACTTGTTGAAAACCCTAGGAAAACCCGACGTTTTCCTATCACTTTGCTTTACTTAGTTTGTGTACTGTTATTTCGTTACGTTAGAGGTGTTCGTTGAGCTCCGGAGGCATTGAGTATACAGAGGGTGGTGAATTGTTGTAACGTACGTTAATGAAAACGTCCAGTTGACAACCGTACTAGCGATCCCTTAGGCGTCACTCGCAGTTATTCACACAACTCAATCCTCCCGGACTTGTGTAGTCCCACGACCGAGGAGAAAAAGTGAAGGTGCGAAACCCTCGGTATTTCCCTACGTCGTTCAAGACCATTGCAATTGCGAAGGGCCCGAAGCCCAACCCGCAATCGTGAGTTCCCGACTTTACTAGCAGCACTGAAGGACCCTTGGGGACCAGCAGCATGTTTGCCATTGAAAGTCCTTTTACACGCGGTCGAGTCGTATTAGACCCAACTACATGTAAGCAAGTGTCCTTTGGGCCTAAAGATCATGTCATCGGGCTAGCTAGGCTCGACAAGCATGATTTGCAACTTTTGGGCCTAAGGAGTGTACGTCGACGTATTGAGTAATTCCACGAGAGTAAAGAGTTCCAAGAGTTCCATATGTGTATTGAGCGTTGTAGTGTTAGTAGTTTTGGATTTGTTATTGATTCGAGACCGAATCAATTCGTTTGGTAACGATTGTTGGTGATATTGTGTATTGTAATTCATCGAGAGTCGTAGTGTCAATCTTTGTTCACAACGAGTGTATTGAATTATCATTGAAAATTTTCTGTTTACAACCCCTCTTTATTTTGTAAATTTACTTTTTCACCCCTTTAGGTAAAATAATTTCCGGTTTAGTCCTTAAACCATTTTTCTTGACATTTTAACACCAAAAATTATTGAAATTAATATTTTTCAGCATATTTTTCATTGAAAACAGTTTAAGTCCCTGAAATTGCAGTTTTCTCGGTTGTAACCCCTCTTTTTCGCAATTTTTACATTTTTGGCCCAAATTGGAAATTTTTGCAACTTTGGTCCTTTTTAAATTTGAAAAGCATTTTAAACCTTTGAAAAGTACTTGTGACACTAGTGGTCCATTGTTTTACAGAAAAACACAGTTTTGGCCCTCCAAAACAGAAAATTTCGCATAATGGGCCCTATTGGGCCGAAATTGTCATTTTTAGCCCATTAAGCTTGAAATTTATGCTTTTAATCCTCCAAATAGTATATTTTCAGAAAATACATTATGGAAACTGTTTTGACTCATCTCACCCATCAGATTTCGAAATATTTCATTTTAGGCCCTTCAACTTTGTATTTTTAACATTTTGTGTCAAAAAAATGAGTTTTTAGCCCAAAATAAGTGTTGTCAAGCCATTTGGCTATTTTTCTTGGTATACTTTGCATGTAGTAGTATATTTTATGCTAGTATAAAATATATCTCGGTTTTTAGCAATTCATAACTAGATCTAGCATCAAAATCATACAAAACATACATATAAGCATAGAAATCAACCAAAACATACACATAATGATGGATCTACACCTTTGCTTGTATTCTCCCCCACAAAAACTTATAAAAACCGAAAATAAGGGGGTATGAAACTCACCTTGGGTGTTGATTCGGTTTTTGAAGAAAGGATGGAAGAAATGAAGTGATTTTTGGCCTTAGCACCCTTTTCTTGAAGATCTCGAGTTTGAGGGGTTCTAAGACACAAGTTCATGATTTCATGAGAGTTAAGAAGAGATTTTAGATAGATCAAGGAACCTAGATCATAGAATTTAGTATAACCTTACCTTGGATGGTGATTTTTGTGAAAAATCTCCTTGGAATGCACTTAAACCTCGAAAATTTTAGGAGAGGGAAGGAGGAATGCTCTTCAAGACTTAGAGAGGTTTGGAATGAATTTTTGATGAGTGAAGAGGGGTGTTCGGCCAAGAATGAGAGAGGGGAAGAAGAAGAGAGGAGTTTGCATGGAAAGATGAGATTGTATGGATGTTTGGAGTGTAAAACATGGATATCCCCATGTAAAAGTGAGGTGTCATGGTAATAGTCAACTTCTTCCTCTTGGGCTTGTCTTGGGCCGAAATTTGGAAGGAAAAAGAGAGTATTGGGCTTTAATGCCCCTAAGCCCAATATTAGAGTTATGTTTGATGATTGTAAGATATAAGTGTGATTTTTATACTTTGTTGGGCTAGTTTAGTTCATTATTGTTCATTATTTTAATTTATTTCATTCTAGGCCCAATATGGCCCAAAATATTGAAATAAGTAAATGTGGGTCCAATTAGAGCCCATTTAAGGGTTCTAAGCCCATGATAGTCAAATTGGAAGCTTATTGGTCCATTTAGGTCCAATAAGGAAGTCCTAGTCCAAAATGGACCTAATCAAGAACTTCTAGGGTTTCCAATTGCTTGATGTAGTGAATTGGGGTTTAGTTTTCCATTGAGTAAGCATCATACATGCTCTTGAGTTTTTGAATTCAACATTTACTTGAGTATAGTGATTACAAGACACAAAATTTCTAGTTGTGACATCATCCCCCCGTTAGAGGGAATTTCGTCCCGAAATTCTGTTTGAAAGCTAGATTTGAGAATGCTAGAATAGGTGAGGGTACTTTTGCTTCATTTGGTCTTCGCGTTCCCACGTGAATTCTGGCCCACGCTTTGCGTTCCACCGTACTTTCACGATCGGGATGCGACTTTGCTTAGTACGCTTCACCTCCCTGTCCATGATTTCAATTGGTTCTTCAGTGAACAGGAGATTCTCGTTGATTTCGATTTCGTCAAGAGGAATGACAAGGGTTTCATCTGATAGGCACTTCTTCAGATTAGAGACATGGAACACAGGGTGTACACCGTTTAGCTCTGCGGGTAGTTGCAGTCTGTATGCTACTGGATCAATTCGGGCGACGATTTCGAAAGGTCCAATGTATCGTGGATTTAGTTTTCCCCGCTTCCCAAAACGAATAACTCCTTTCCAGGGCGAGAATTTTAACAGTACTCGATCACCGACATGAAATTCTAAAGGCTTTCGTCGTTTATCAACGTAGATCTTTTGTCGGTCACGCGATGCTTGCAATCGAGCTCTGATTTGAACGATCTTTTCCGTGGTTTCACGAATGATCTCCGATCCTGTTAGTGCTTTGTTTGACGTATGCGTTTTTACTAGCTGGGTGTCAGCTACTTCAGCCCAACATAACGGTGATCTACATTTACGCCCGTACAGTGCTTCGAAAGGAGCCACCTTGATGCTCGAATGGTAACTATTGTTGTATGAGAACTCGATTAAGGGTAGGTGGGTATCCCAAGACTTTCCAAAGTCTATCACGCATGCGCGGAGCATATCTTCGAGCGTTTGGATGGTTCGCTCGCTTTGACCATCCGTTTGTGGATGATAAGCGGTGCTCATGTCGAGGTTTGTTCCCATCGCCTTATGGAGTGATTGCCAAAATCGTGACGTGAACCTACTGTCCCTATCCGAGATGATAGATGTTGGTATTCCGTGGAGTCTCACAATCTCTCGAATGTATAAACGCGTCAATCTCTCCATCTTGTAAGATTCTTTAATTGGCATGAAATGGGTAGATTTCGTCAATCGGTCGATTATTACCCATATGGTGTCTAATCCATCCGACGTTTTGGGTAGCTTGGTCACGAAATCCATAGAAATCCCCTCCCATTTCCACTCAGGGATTGCCGGTTGCTGTAACAATCCTGAGGGTTTCTGGTATTCCACCTTTACTTTGGCGCACGTAAGGCACTTACTGACGTAGGTCGCGATTTCCGCCTTCATGTTAGGCCACCAATAGTGTTGTTTAATATCCAAATACATCTTATCGGAACCGGGATGAATGGAGTATCGCGTCTTGTGGGCTTCCTTCATGACAACATCTCTAAACCCTCCAAGTTTAGGGACCCAAATACGGTTCATGAAATAGTATACTCCATTCTCCTTTGCCTCCAGGTTCTTTTCCATTCCGCGCAATACTTCGCTTGCTCTATTTTCCGTCTTCATGGCCTCTGACTGGACTACTGCAATTTGAGTGGCCAGGTGAGATTGAATGGTTATCGAGAGAGTTTTCGTACAACGATTAGAGTACTCCTTCCGACTTAATGCATCAGCTACCACGTTGGCCTTGCCTGGGTGGTACTTAATCTCACACTCATAATCGTTTAGCAATTCAACCCATCTTCGTTGCCTCATGTTCAACT